TTAAGGAAGTAAACTTAGCCCCTCCCCTTATAGGGAGTTCATCCAGTCTCATGGCTTTGAAGTCAGCTCTATGTTGCTGACACCTACCTTTGTCATTTTAATCTTGACCTCCCCACTGAACTACAGACATTTATTCCACTGCCCACTAAACCACCTCACTTGACTATCTAATAAGTATGTAAAACCAATTGCGGCCAAAAGGTATCTTCTGATTCCCCTCACCACCAACTTCTCCTCCAATTTTCCCCATCTTAGTAATTGAACCCTCACACATTCAGTTGCTCAACTAAAACCTAGAAATCAACTCTTGACTACTCACCTCCTGCCTTCCACATAGAATCCACACTTAAGTTCTTAGCTCTGTCTGCAAAGTATATTGCCAAAGCTGGCCCAGGCTCCATCTACATAGCTACTATGGCTTCTTACCCAGACAACAGCTCTGAAAGGTCCCCATTTCCTCTTCTGCCTCCACCAATCAGTCACTACACAGTAGCCATGGTCATGAGGCCATCAATCCCCAGACCTAGAACACTCTACAGACTTGCTGCCATCATTAAAGTGACATCATAACTCCTTATTCTGCCCTGAAAGATCAAGGCCCGTTCCACCTCTCTAGCCTCATCTACCACTATTTCTTCTCTGGATACATTCCAACATTTCATACTGACTGTCTCCAACACACTAAACTCATTTCCACCCCAAAGCCAACGCTTTCCCACCTTCATACCTGGAATGAACAGAGATACTTCACCATTCATATCTCAACTCAAATAACATCTTCAAAAGCTTCTCAGATCTCACAATCTACAGAAGCATCCCCTGGTGAGAAGCTGGTGGTGAGGGGAATCAGGAGCCCTTTGGCCACAATAAGTTTAGAAATATATTAGGTATTCAAGTGAATATTTAATTCATTTATCATAGACCCCATTTTACTGGTTAAGGTACTCATCACTATCTAAAATTATCTTGTAAAGTTCTTTACTTATTTATTATATATGCTAATAAAATTCATTCATTCATTTATTCATTCATTCATTCCTGCTATGCCTATCAGAAGCATTAGCCCAAATAAGAACTGTGATCTTTTCTTATTTCACTTGAAAGCATTCATTTCTGGATGCCTGATACTACTGGTTAAAAAGTACACATGGCCGGGCGTGGTGGCTCAAGCCTGTAATCCCAGCACTTTGGGAGGCCGAGGCGGGTGGATCACAAGGTGAAGAGATAGAGACCATCCTGGTCAACACGGTGAAACCCCGTCTCTACTAAAAATAGAAAAAATTAGCTGGGCATGGTGGCGCACACCTGTAATCCCAGCTACTCAGCCTCCTGAGTAGCTGGGATT